CACTGTGGGCCTCACAGCACAGTAGTACACAGCAGAGTCTGTCACTGCAGCAGAGGAGATCTTCAGAGTGATTTGGTTTTTATCACCACTCACTGTAGCAGAGAGTCCAGCTTGTGTTACATTTTGTGATCCATATTGATTGATGAGGAGCTGTGGAGGTTTTCCTGGATGTTGTCGGTACCAGAACAAATTGTCAGTAGCATCTATTGTTTTAGAATATTTGTAGGTCAGAGTGACAGTGCTGCCTTCTAAACTGGACTCTTCATCCTCCACTGCAGTCAGCTGTTGACATCTGACACCTAAATGAAGAAATAAATGTCAAATATTAAAGTAAATTCTAGCAATCAGATCCTTTCAAGACATTTCTTTTTCCTGCTTCAACCTACCTTTTAATGTGATCACCAACAAAGGAAACATGACCCAGTAATGCAGTGACAGCATCTTCCACACACTATCTGTTATGTTGGTTTACATACTGAATGTATGTGACAGTGGGAGTCCTTTTCTGTTCTGCTCTTTAACAGTGTTGCTCCTCCCTCAACATGTTCCTCCTCTCATATCACTGGATGTTCTGAACACCAAAAACCCCACTTGAATATATGTTACAGCTACACAAACACAAGAACCTCTGTTAATTTGCTGGATTTGTATTGATTTGCATTTAAACCACTTTCCAGAGTCATAATTTTTCCTTCCTGTAGTTATTGGGAGAAGTTGTCAAAGTTATATGACTTTTGAGAAATGATTTCCTTCTCATTTGCTCTTTTATTTGCTGCACCTGTTAAAGTCGATCCTTTTAAATGTGACTGAAATTCTGTAAAATATAGTGTCTGAATGTATAAACTTCATGTTTTCAGACTGGAGAATTGTGGTAATCGTATAAACACAGTCTTATTTTCAAAGCTATTTCAAGGGGATCAGTGTCTCCAGAAATGCAAAAGACGTGATGTGGACTCATTTGTAGGACCACATAAACTGGTGTACATAGGCGACTATATGTTGTCATCATATGTGCAAAGTTACAAGTTGCTTCCATGTTGACATGTTGACATTTAACAACATATGAGGCTCATTCCTCAATGAATTCACTTTTCATTTGTTTGCAGAAAGAACCATTTAAAAACTCTTATGACATCTCTGCTAGAAATGTCAAGTTTGTATCGTCTTTACTTCCTCATTGTAGTTGGATCTTGGATGGTGACAGAATATGTACTATTGGAAACAACTGATATCAACAGATGAGGCCACTTGAATGATTCATCTGATGTTAAATGGTTGCTGGATTCACCACTGATGAAGATGAAGAGGAGCAGGATGATGAAAA